AATAAACGTTTATTACTACCAAATATCTTTTATCCTTTGTACAGTCGGAGGAGTTGAAAATTTGTATCGGAATATCCGCACTATGTTTTATACTTCCTGACCTAGAATACAGTGAAAAGGCTCAAGAGTGCTATTTAAGTCTCTTTCAGAGTGCACACGTACATTTTTTCACGATAACATTTTATTTTTATGCGAAATTTTACTAAAAATGTGATGATTAAGAAATTACTTCGAGACTAATGAAATACGTGAAGAGTAGGTGAATTTTGGAGGTACAGACAAATTTGTTTTAGTTAAATTCTATAATTTTCATTAACCGTTCAACAATAATTTCCCGTCATTTTTGACGGGCTTTTATACTACTAGTATAGATAATTAAATATACTTTATAAAGATTAGAATGCATTGTTTCATCAGTTGTGTACCCTCGCTGTTAACACTTTCGGCTGTAACAACAGGCGAAAACAAGTTAAAATATACGAAAGTTTAACAAGAGATTTTCTTAAAAGAACTAGAAACAAAGTCAAATACCTCGATGAAGAATGTTCAGAGTATGAATATATTTGAGACCTAGACAGATCTGAATGAACCAATTCAGGATTTTCTGAAACAAAAACAGGGTATCTTGTGGTTATTTTATTACTCAAGTTTATATAAAAGCAATTCGCAGTACATAGAGTGTAAAAAAAAAAAAACTTTCTAAAATCGACTTAAAGTACATCTATATACAATAAACGTGTTGAACGTAATCCAAACACGGCCTGAACGTTTCGTTTGCTAACAACAATTGAGTTATTACGGAAAAACTATTCTGAATTGCCGTCTTACTTTTGAAATCTTCCAAAACTGTCACATATTTTAATTACTCCAGCAATATTTTAAGTAACTCCAGAATCTATGTTTTGTATAGCCATTATCTGAGTAACCAGGATAAACATACGTGTAGGAATATAGAGAAAGTTAGGAAATCCTGTATATTCTATGGCACAACGTACACATAAAGCATCGTTTATATATATAATTTATCATGATTGAAGAAACACAAATATTCAATATTGGTCTTTAACACAATTTACTGAATATAGAGAAGTGAATGTCTTAAAACAACGTCAAATTCGAAAGCATATATTGAAAATATGAGGTAAACTCCAAAATAAATCAAAATTGTGTTACTCATACAAGATACCAGTAAGAAGTGATTATATGTACTAAAATTTCTGCATGCTACACACTGCGTAAAATAATTAAAGTGCAATTTGAAATAATATTTCAGTTCTAACATGTCAATCACTCAGTTCATTTTTACAAAAATTAGACATCTGGCTTTCATTATGTGATATAAAGTGAAAACTATTAGTTATTCAGCCTAGGCTAGTAAATGAATTTCACAGACGTGGCTTTAAATCGTGAGTACATGACATACATATTACTTCAATATAGAATACGACCACCAAAAACTGCCTAGTACCAATACGCCATGTTAAAACCAGCTTTGATGATGTCCTGGAGTATCCTCGATTGCTCTCCTGAAAGGCCCGTTTTCAGGGCATCTTTAATATCTGGATTTATTTGATAAAATGCAGTGCGTCATTCATGAACATCATGTGTGTGTTAGTGTACATGGTTCATAGGATTAAAATCCATTTAGCATGCAACAAAATCTATCAAAATGTTTAGCACAGTGGAGGCGAACGTTTTCATGCAAAAGGGGGATATCAGGGCTAAGTGCTCCATCATAATGTAGCACTGGTTATCATTGTAAATAAAATTGTTCTACATGTCGTTAGTCCAAAGGACGTTTGCTTGACACAGTTGTGTGTTGCTATAAATGGAACGAGCCTTATTGGATGTTGGGCATATAGCAAAACCTAGTGTACTCTGATTCTAACCGTTTGTGCATTAACATGTCGTCCAGTTGCGGTTGCATCTAACCCGCTCTCAAAACGTGTATCCAATCATTGTGGCAAACAAATATTGACAAATAGCTGTGGTTTGCTTGTGTTATACATCAAACGTTCGTAAACTGTGTATTACAGGAGGTACTATTGTCGGTCGCAGAACAAGACACATTAGGGCAAAAATAATTATGTTAAAATTATTTACAAGAACACAAGTACACTTTTCGGAAATATGTTAGTACAGTAATCCCTCCTCTTTCACTAGTAAAGCAGAAATCCCACAAAACTGCCTGGCTAATCTGGTAGATCGAGAGTTGGGAAAATTTGGGAATACCTTTTGTAGATAATAGCATTTTTGTACAGATTTCCGAGCAATTTTAATATCACTTTAGAAACCGTTCTACATCGTAACGACACTGTGGTATCATAATAACTAATTCACACCCGCCTGTTTATATCATCTATGTTCGAATCGTCTGATGGCTCTCTATAAGGCAAACATACAATATCCCCTGTAATGGACAATTTGGGGCACTTTAAACTCGGTGATTGACCAAGTGATAACTGAGACAAGGCTATAAGTATCACAGGCTGAAAACCTCATCATTCTCAATTTAGATCAAATGACTGATTATCTGACAGTGTTCTATATCAGTTTTTTTTCTTATATAGCTCTTACATTTCAAATTATGATTATTCTTTAATCGTTTGGTCCACTTGAATTATGTGGGTAAGACAATTTAGTTATAAACTGACATTCATAGATAAGCATGCAAATATCAGACTAAGAATTTGCGGTATTTGATATGCAATAGTAATTCTAAGGAAAGGTATCTAACAAAATACTTACAATGTACAACTAGAAAAATCAATATTAAAGGAATTAAGTGCGAAGTTTCAATTTAATTTAACTTTATGGAACTGAATAATACATATTTACTCGTTTTTTTCAATAAATATGATTGGGCCGTTTATCTAATGTTTAGAAGTAAAACATGATACAATATAATATACAGATAAAGTTTAATACGAAGATAAAAACATAATAACAAATTATTCTATTTATTGAGAAAAACCTTATTATTATTATGATTAAGTATAATGGAAGATTGTAGTATTAGAATATAAAAAATTAATTAAAATTATTTTAAACTAAATGAAAGCCTAATGGGGTGCATTTTACTTTCTAGAGATGACTTTTCTCGCTCAAGGAAGAACGTTTTCTATGAATACAAGATTTGTTTTTTGTTATAATGAACATTTTCCAGACATCTCTGTAAAAATGGTAGGTCCATAATATTTAGTTTAAAGTTCACATTGTAATAGACAGTTTTTCAAGTTTTAAGTATTTGTTGTATTTGATATAAAGAATAACCAAAAACAGCTCTTATTCTGTCTACTTTTTGAAATGTATTTGCTTTCGCATAAATGGTCACAGTAAATTTTACTTGATGTTTTAAATTACAGATTTGATGTGCCCTAATGAGATTCGTTATATAATTAATGTTATCATGTGTTTTTTTTATGGTTAAAGATACCGTTCTATATATATTTTGCTGTCGTCAAGTGTATGGGTACATGGCAAATACATGCTGTTAAAAACCATAATAATAATATTTCGAATTCATTCTGTTACCTCGAAGACCTTAGTAATATAATAACAAAATCTTTATCCTATAGTTATAATATTATCGCAAGAAAAATATATATTTATGGACATAACAATACCTTAAATATATTATTTTATCTTGGAATCCAACGAAAAACGTTTAGTTAGTTAAGCCTTTCGTTACCAGATGGGTTTTTATTGCATTTTACTTTCTACAATCAACAAATGACTTTTCTCGCTGTGAATAAAAGATTTGTTTTTTAAATCTCTGTATTATAAATGTATTACATTTATTATCCGTGCCAAGGTTATCTGAACATATTTTATCTATAGGTAGTGTCCTATCTTGCTCATTTCTTTCCTACTTTCATTAATTGTACAAACTGAAAATATATCATCAACTTTAATGAAGATAACGAACTCAAAGGTTTTGATGAAATATGTAGCGTTTTTACTAACCTATATGAAAAAATTTAATACGGAATAAATTTATCTGAAATCTAAAAGAACACACATGATATATTAGAAATACCACTGCTGCTGATAATAATAAAAAATGAAAATATAAATCAAACCACATTATCAAAGCATTTACCACTAAAAGTATATTGTAGTAATATAGATACTATTGCTACTTCTAAAACGAAACAGTTAATCTTAGTATTGATTAATAAAGCACTGGATCACTAGGTAAAGAATAAATCTTGGAATTTTTCACAAATTTGATAGAATCTCCCACTGTAATTTATGAAAAATTCAGTGATTTTATTGCGATCTTGATGTTCTAAAAGTTATAATACGAAAGTAAAAATAATTTCCGAATCACATGTAGTAACCGAATTTTGGAATATTGAGTTAAATGGTTAAACGACTTTTTTAATTCACATATTCCTAGACAGTCTACCAATATTTCATCACGGTTTAATATTTTAGCCCCATAAACAAAAAAGACATTAATATTAAAAATAGTCCTAGTTACCTTCAGGCTAACTGAAAGCAAAAAAATCAATATACTTCAACGTCAGTGCGAGAGTACTTAATTTGACAGATTGGTTAGCATAATGTTTTATTACTGCGAAATATATCAATTCAATAAAAACTATCCTCTCCTCTCCTAACCTCGAAAAATTATTATTTCAAATTGTCACCATCAATATCAAATTTTGTTTTTATAACATTTAAATTTAGAAGAGTATTCATATACTATACCTTTTCTGAAAAATATATCCCATTTTGCTTTTGAATAGCTGTGTATAAATCCCCTGGAAAATAAAAAGTATAGTTTATCAGATCTTGATGGACATCTATCACAGTTTCTACCACATAGTAAAGCAATGACAAAGATTAACGAATATAATTTCTTCGTTACATCTGATATCCTAAAATACTTAATGATATCACGAAGCTGAAAATATCAGGACAAAAGTGGAAACTTTTAACTGCAGTTTACACTTATCAAAACATTACTTTAATTGTGTAATGAGTTTTATTTTTTCCCCTATAACACGAATCTAATATAGTTCCAAATAGCTCTCATCATCTCTTTTCGTTTCAGTTTTCAGCGATAATTTCCATTCAACTTTTTTTATCACACCTCTTATTTTCGGTGACGGTCCGTTAATCGGAAGATGTAAGTTTGTTGTTTGTTTTGTTAACACTTAAAATATTGAATTGATTGTTCAGTTACATTTGTGAAACTTTAAGACAAAAACATCCAAGGATATGACCTAAAAGATTGTAATTTCTCATCAATGGATGGATAATGTTTATCATCGTTTCCCTGATGTTATTTTATTGTATGCATGTACCAAGACACACGGTAGAGTGTCGTGCGGCCAAAACAACCTGCAGGACACACAGTATGTTATTAACAAGAGTGATAGTTTAGCGATTTTCCACTTTCCGTAGCTCGGACTATTCCAAACTATTACATATTATCAGTGGATGTGCTCTATTGGATCCTTACTTCAACTACCAAATTTCAAGGTAATCCATTTAGAAATATACGAGATATAAAATTTCCAATTTTGATTGAAGTTCTTCCTTTTTTTTTTCTTCGGAAACTTTATTTGATAGAAAAACATACTTAACATTTATGGATTTTTATTTCTCAAATTTGGTACACTGATAGATCTTTACAACCTACAATTAGATTTAAAATTTGGTCTAAGTATAAGCCACATAAGCAAAGTTATTCAACAAAAACAGCTAAATTTTGACGAAAATGTTTGCGCACGCCTACGCAAAAAAGCCACATGAGATATCGGCCTAATATTTTTACTACATCTTCATTTAAGAGTAAAAGTAAACCGTTTTTAGTTATTATGATTAAATACGGCTGATTTAGAGCAACAAACCTATAAGATGAAAGAACGTGCAAATATGTAAGTATTGGTTAGGCCAACCAAACTAGATTAGCAGTTTCTAGCTCAAGTTTTCAAAAGAACCATAATTGTAAATAGTTATTATTCATTGCCAACATTTAAACACAAGTTTGATAAATTTTATGAAATTCTCCTATTTAAAGAGCGTTTAGTGTCACGTGACATCAGCGTAAGTAATTAGCGTAAATAATGATGCTTGATGTGGCTGTACCAAGTGCATGCAGGTGATGACAAGAAACTATTAATATGAATTAAATGGCGTTACTATAAAGGAAGTCAGTAACATTGTTTTAGAAAGAAAATATTACGACCATATATTTCAATTAAGCTGGTTGGTTCTGTAAAGTATAGGTATGCTCCGAATAATAGGGATGCAATACTAAAGCCAGTGTTGTTTACTATCGAGTGCCACTTTCTTACATGCTATGGTTTGTTAGTGTGTATTGACATAAAGTCATGATATCTAATCAAAAACACCTTAGGTGTGAAAAAAGGCGCAGCCAAAAAAGGATTGAGAGTACGACTTAACGGAATAAAATCAAAATTGGCGGCCAAGCTGATAGTTACATTTATAGCATTGATGAGAATTTTACAGGAAATATTCATTCATTACTTAGCTTGGCCGCGTATTTTGTTTTACTCACCATCATGCTTAAAGTTGAACAAAAAATGCGGTCTGGCTAACTAATGAATGAACATTTGCTGCAAGATTCTTATCAATGCTATAAGTGTAGCCAATAATTTGGCCGCTAATTTTTTATTTCATTCCTTTAAGTCGCACGCTCAATACTTTGTTGGCCACACCTTTTTTTTTCACACCTAAGGTGTTTTTGATTAGATAGTGTTAGCTACAAAGGATTGGATTTGGGAATCTAGCTGTTCTGCGAGAATGAACATTCAAAATTGTTATTACGTAGTGCTGTGACAACAAATGTTATATCCCCGACTCAATAAACATGTTGATAGCTTCCAGTTAGTAAAATTATCTTGACACCGAGCCAATGCAATGAGCTGTACACTACAATGTCGATTCAAATATTTGTTGTTTGTATTTAAAACGAGAGCAAGGTGTCAGGGGCGTCTAGTCCCCCGAACCCCACTCTTTACTATAATAACCAAACAACTAAATCAAAAGTTTTCCTACAACATCTCAAAAACACATGCACACTCACTTACCACCACTTTTGATAACGACTCTAAGAAATCGGTAGACAACTACACCTCAGAAAACAAATACAGGTTCACAAACAAATTTCCAGTTAACACTAACTTAACACCAGAAGACATGATCCCTGACCACAATTATATAGCAACGCATGACATAGTGCACACCGCAAAATCATTAAAAAATAGCCCCTCCCCCCGGAGAAGATAACATTCCTAACATATGTCTGAAATAACGAACTACAAAATTATGTACTCACCTAACACCTAACCAGTATTTTTACTCTCATTCTCAGACCTGCTCACATATCACCTAAATAGAAGACGGCTACAAATTACCACAATACCTAGAAAACTACAGACCTATAAGCCTAATCAACACAATAGGGAAACTTCTTGAAAGAATTGTTACGCCTCCGTTCGTTAGTTAATTTTCCGTAAAAATTCTTTCCGATGAAACTTTAGCGACACAAGTCCTTTCTTAAATAAAACTAGTTTATTCTTTCTCAATACAACTTTGAAATTCACTTAATTTCAACGGTCACGCTATAGCTTAAACAAACGCTATAATTCACAACGAACGACTCACGTGCTCGACTCAACAGTACGTCTCTATCTCTGTCTGCAGTTCAATTACACATTGTTGCCGTCAGTTCTTACCGGTCTTATATATACAAGAATACCACATATCTAGTAACCTCTCGAGGCTTCAGGAAGGGACGTGAACGTTCGAGAATGTAACGTGTTGCTAGCGTCACGTGACCCCCGCTGTCGTAACAGAATCATAACTAAAAGATTAATAACTTTATTGAGAAAAATATGATACTACCAGAAATACAAAACAATCTGAGAAAAAAAAAACAGTCAAACAACAGATCATCTAATTAGACTCACGGAAACAATAGTCAGATATATATCTGATTTCCTTAATGACAGAACAAAATTAAAAGAAATACATCTAAATACTTCAAGACTCAGTCTTAAACGATATTAATTGGCCCTCCTCCAAAAGCCCTATACAAGTAGCAAAACTCGTACAGCAACAACTTAATCTTATACAATCATGATGCTCTAAATGGAGAGTAATCCTAAACCCAAACAAACACAATTCATTATCCTCTACAGAGAATTACGCAGAATATAAATATATAACAGAGAAATATAATCCATCAGTTTCCAATATATAATTCCCTAGTGAAAACTAAAGCTCATTAGGAAGCCACGGATGCGATATCAGTTGTGGAACGTTGTTAACAAATATTTGTACTGTTCTTAAAATCTCAAAACGAACTTTTTAATACCTAGTTTATGAAAACAGTCTCCTAGTTAAATACATATCAGGAAGAACGAATGTAAGATCCTTTCTTCCAGATAGGCGATTAGTGTACATTTATTCATGAATTTTAGTCGTTTTATAACACTTACTAGTTTGTTATACTAAACTTGCAATATTACAAATACATGACTGGTTGAAAGTATTACATGTTTTGTGTAATGTTAAGTTGAGCGGATCTCAATAGAAAACGACAAGTATATATAAATGCTTTTTAAATAATAATAACCTATACCATTTTCCTTGCAGTTAGTTTCACTAAATCTTACTGGTTATAATGTTTAATAATTCTTAAATATTCTTGTGAATCATAATTTCACACGTGTAAAAAATATTTTGTATTGTATTGCGTAGATTTAAAACTAATCTAAACCTTCTAAGCTGGCTAAATCTTGCAAGATATTATTATTGGGAATACGGCCTAAAATGATGTTTAGAGAAAATGTAACAAACTGATGATTCAATACAATATAATCTTTATGAAATATCATTTTTCTGGTATACTAATTCATAGCATTGAATATTTTTAATCATTGTGTTTATCCAAATGTCTATTAATGTATACGCTATGCAAAATTTAAAATTGTTGGTCCTAATTTCTATAGTTAGCTTTTGAACAGGGTGTACTTAATTTCTTTATTGACAATTTCGAACTTTGAAGTTCTGTTGTAGGAGTATCCTATCAATTTGATTTAATTATTTTCCTTTAAATTTTGAATGATTTGCATTTCATGAACTACTTTTAGAGAACAAATAAGAAATACATATTTCAAAGACAAACAGAGAACAGTGGAGCCTCGTTAAATTATTTTTATGCCACGTATTTTCCATTTATAAACCTGTATTCAAAAATGTCCATACACCCGAATGTCTTAATTTTGCTATTTCTAATCTCTTTTGTTTCGAAAACTTTGGCAATTATCCAGTCTTTGTTGTAATTATGTTTAACATTTTTTAGCGAGTTGTTATCCTTTTATTAGGTTACTTGTAAGGGCAGAAACAATAAGCATATATGAAAATATTATTCCCTAGGATTAGTTGATAACCTGATAATTCTATTCAGACTAATACAGTAAGAAAGCTTACTTAATAAACAAAATCTCACCTCCATCTGCGTATTCCATTACAATGCTCAACTGGACTTTTTCTTCATCTAAAAATGCATCTTTGTACCTATGGAGAAAATATATTCGTAAAGATGTAAAAAATTCCTCGTGTAATATGGAATTTAAAAAGTCAGTTTTCTGTAAGCAAAACCTAAAGCATGTTTCTATTCAGTGTGATTGAAGTAAAACAGGCATTAAAAGTAAAAATAACTTAATAATTATATATTTTTATATTTCAAAACGCATGACCAGTTGTACAATGTATATGCACTGGGTTACAAACTTAGTCCACCTTCATCACTTTCAGAATATGCCTGGTTATATCCAAGAGAACCAATGCCTTGCAATCACTGCTGTAGCTAAGAGCAACTTTTACTAAATTTTAATTCTGATTGAAAGTTGAAGCTAGGAGGTGATGTTATGAACACTTCATCATACATAACGCAGCTCATTTTGTGGTAACTGATCACACGCGGTGACCTTTAGATTCAATCCGAGAGACTGGTATCGTTGATACTTTGGAAATATGTGTTTAGGTTTCGATAACCTGGCGGGCGGGTGGCAGATTCCTTCTGGAAGGGATGTCTGTAACTTAAGTAGATCAACGATAACTATATTTTACTCCCAATCACTTTAGATACTTGAAATGAGGTTGCACGTAATTTGTAAACTTAATGTGTAGAATTGTCTTATTTAGAAGAAGCTTCATGGACCTATTAAGACTAGGAAGTGTTTGCAGTTTTCATTTTTGAAGTTGTAAGAATGAAGGAGGAATGTCAATCACATTTACCTGCTATATCCAGTCCTGGCGATGCATTTCGCTCAATATCGGGGCTTATTAGGCCGGTTGGGATTCGACAAAACATAGTATTAGTAGCGGTATATATATATCATAAATTACATGAACAAAAACTATTATGGTGTGAACAGATTAAGCAAGTGAACTATAATTATCATCATTTTTGCTTAAGTTATTAGCAAATAAAGTAATAGGTTGGGGATTAATAACACATTATTTTTTTAACATCAATCACTTATTACTTTATTATTATTAACTTGTTATTAACTTTACTCAGAACAACTAGGTGAACCATGAAGCTTGTCTTGTTCCCGGAGAGGATTAAGCAACCACAGCTTCAAATATATTACTGAAATGACTGGGAGAGTACACTCCAGCTAGTAATGGACTCCTCCATCAATACACTTAGTTTACACGTGAATTTTGTGCACTGGAGCGTAGTATTTATAAAGGTCACCAATTATCAAAGATATCCAGTTGGAGACTTGGAGTCAAGATGCCACGCGAAAAAAGCCCAAAGGTCTTTGGAATGAGATAATTGTTGTATGCAACGTTGGTTATATACGTGTACGATGCATTTCACACCATCTATTCCTACCGAAATCCTCTCTGACTCTAAGTAATACAATGAAGAAATGGAGGGCTGCTTGAGATGTTTTGATGTGAAAAACTAGCTTGGTCAAAACCTACTCCTGAGACTATGAAGGATGTGAAACATATTGCAGTTTGGAACCACACATATTTGGATGAAACTCGAGACTTTCAGGAGTGTTTAGGAATATATCCGAGCACATCCACTGTAATTAGTAAATTTCACGGAAGGGCTACAGCCCATAACCTGCTCATCGCTATAAGTACATAACTCACCATGCACTAACGTTTTTCATTATAACCCACAGCCCATTTCAAATATTCGACTAAAATAACTACTCAGTGAAGGCTGGTATTAAAACAACCTACCTGATTATATGTTGATGCCTACATTCCGCTAAAATAGTAACCTCCGAAACAGCCTGTTGTCGTTCGTAAGAAGTCATTCCTCCGAGCTGTATCTCTTTGATAACATATCGGCGCTCGCTGGTTTGAGATTTTACCACCCACACCTGGCCAAATGTACCAGAACCAATTTGATGAAGTTTAGAATATTTTGAATTCATTGTAGACGTCAGTAACCAAATCTACGAGTAGTAAAAAGTTAAACATAATTTTTACTTTAGGACAATTATTTTTTTACGAAGTTAAATGGTATAAAAAACTTCATTTGGGTCAAACTTTTATTTCTTCATTATAGAATAACTGTCATTAACTTCAATAACTCTATTCATAACCATGGTATATAGTTGAAATACTTACAACTGAAAAACTTCAATTAAATTAATAACGTCCAAGAAGTTTCAACTACTGAATGCTAAATACAAATCTCGTAAGATAATATTTCAGTTTTCCCCTGTTATTTTGCTTTGAAGTTTGATATCATTGAACGCTGCTAAAATATCAGATATTACATGCAACATCAATCCTCTTAAGGCGAAGGTTGAGTAGAAATATCAGTATTATAATGAATAGTGGTCATTACTTCAAAACAATGATAAGAACGGTTTAAGAGATCATTTGAGTACGTTATCAAATTATTTTATTTTGCAATTATCACAAATACGTAAAGGATTTTACGATTAAGCAGATGTTTACTGTTGTTTTTAATTTGATTTAATAATATTTCAATATATTTTCATTTTATTTACAAATATAATAATAATTTATATAACGTACAAAATTAGAATAGTACAATAAGTTTACAGCCATTAATTGCGAACCCTATAAGTTATCAAAAAAATGCCGAATTTTCACTGATAACAAACATTTGAGCAAAAGTGTAAAGGCCTAACATTACCTTCAACGAGGTCTTCCTGTAGTAGTTTAAAGTAACATACACCTTAACGTACGCAAACTACTGCAAAACTACTTTACTTGCACATCTCATACAACTTCCTACAGCCCCCATCAAATTAGAACGGGAGGGGGGTTTCCGCTTTAGCCAATGAAATATCGCAGCAAATAAATTCTGTAGGAAATGGTAGGGAAAAAATTCGAGTCCTCTACCTAGTTTATTAATTTAATTATGTAGAACTAATAAGCAAATTTGAGGTTACAGTTTCATATAAATATTATTTAAACCGAACAGTTGTTTTAATGCTTTTTATAAACTATATCTTGTAACACTTTTTGGACAAATCACATCTTCATAAGAAGTACTGTGTAAGTAACAGTGAATACAAAATTTTACTCTCAAAATTTCGATTTCGAGACAATCATTTTACGTGAGATGTAAAAGTTATAATCTTGCTCATCAATAAAAAGTTTGATAGATTATTCGATACTCATAAAAATCTGAAATTTTCAAAGTTTTTCCTTTTTTCAAGATAACACATGATAACATAAAAATATAAAACCTGCAAACTATTGTTAAGCCTCTGTGTTCGTTTGTTAATTTTCCATAAAAAATATTTCCGAAGAAACTTTAGCGATACAAGTCCTTTCTTAAATAAAACTAGTTTATTTTTTCTCAATACAACTTTGCAATACACTTAATTTCCACAGTCACGCCATAACTTAAACAAACGCTATAATTCACAACGAACGATTCACGCGCTTGACTCAACTGTCCGTCTCTATCTCTGTCTGCAATGCAATTACATTCCATTGTTGCCGTCACTTCTTGGCGGTCTTATATACAAGAATACCGCACATCTAGTAAACATTCGAGGCTTCACGAAGGGACATGAATTTTCTAGAAGCTCATGACGTGTTACTAGTGTCACGTGACTTCCGCCGTCGTAACGCTATTCATACGAACATGTTTTATTGCATTAGTAAACTATTGCATTTGTTATTACACTTTTTTTTAAACGGTGATTCGAATATTACAAGTGAGTTAAAAGTTACTTGCTATTCTTTGAAATATTTTTCATTGTCTAGTGCTAATTAATATTTCCTAAATTGTGTTACGTATTAGAATTTCGAATAGTCCGAAGCCGAGTTAACTGATAATTTAAATTTAGTAGTTACATTGTACTTTGAATTTAGTATTTAAATATATGCCGATATATAGTCAGTTTATGATATTTGCCAACAAGACTGATATACACACCGTCTTCGTTTTTAACACAAATGTGTTTTAATATACACACACAACAATACAATTTACAATAACAATTATTACAAATAGTTATTACAAACAAAGATTTATAAACAAAAGTTTCACAAACTTACAAACAATATAAAATTGTCTTTCTGGTTTGGAACTCCCTTGATATTGTTACGACAGCGGGGGTCACGTGACTCTAGTAACACGTCATATTCTCGAAGGTTCGTGAATGCTAGAGCGATTACTAGATGTACGGTATTCTTTTATATAAGTCCGGTAAGAAGTGACGGCAACAATGTGTAATTGAACTGCGGACAGAGAGAG